GTGTGGGGTGGGGGCAGGTAGCAATTCAGTGTTCAAAGCTGTCCCTTAAAGGCCTATTAGAGGGAGCAGGAATGTCAAAAGCCAGTTACTTAGTATTAGGAATTATAAGTAATCTAGAGATGATGCAAAGAATAATTGAGGCTGTAGCTAGGCTATGTGCAAATAATTTTGTATAAAGGACTGAACCATTGTGTGTGTGTGTGTGTGTGTGTGTGTGTGTGAGAGAGAGAGAGAGAGAGAGAGAGAGAGACATAACATCTGTAGATATTTTTTTACCTTGGTAATCATTGTAAAAATAAATTCTGATTCTTGTTTTTCAGTGGAAGCTTTATATCAAACAACATACCCAGAATATCTCCAGTACATTTATTTGGTGGCGCCGATATCTCTCATGATGCTGAACCCTATAGGATTTATCTTCTGTGAGATCCAGAAGTGGAAAGACACTCAAAATGCTTCTCAAAACAAAGTGAAAATTGTGGGACTTGGACTTCTGCGCGTACTACAGAACCCTATTGTGTTCATGGTCTTCATCGGAATTGCCTTCAATTTCATTCTCGATCAAAAGGTGCCGGTTTACATGGAGAATTTTCTGGATGGACTGGCAAATTCCTTTTCTGGCTCAGCCTTATTTTATCTTGGAGTCACAATGGTAGGAAAGATTAAGAAACTGAAGAAATCTGCATTTGTTGTACTAATTCTTCTCATCACCGCTAAACTGTAAGTTTTGCTTTCTTAACATGAGGATTGGTGAAAGCCTTTTTAGCCAGTTCCTTGACCTGTGTCTACAACCATTTACTCCCTTGCTTGAACCAAAAACTAAACCCATAGACATCACTCCACTCTCTACTCATTGCAGCTCTGCAGGACAGAGTAGAGCTGCCCCATAGGCTTCCGGTGGGTGTAATCCTCATGAGAGCAGACTGTAACGCCTTTCTCCCAAAGAGCGACCAGTGGGTTGGAACCAACAACCTTTTGGTTAACTGCTGAGTGCTTAATAATAGCACTACCACGGTTCTTCACTCTATTGCATAGTCTAATATTAATAATCCTTCCTGTGACTTAAGTGAAACTGTGATGTTGGTATGTTGTGAAAGTCATTTCTTAATTCTACATAGGTTATTTTTTCTACTTACTCTCAGAGGATAAATAATCTTTCTCCACCCCTGCTCCTCCCCCCCACCCCTTCCCCAAGCTTTTACGTCATTTTGCATATTCCCTCTTGACAATTCTGTTTGATTATTTAATTATTTGATTATTCAGTTTGATTTTTTAATGAGCTTTGTAAGATTTCTGGGTTTTCTAAATCAATTAATATCCTAGAGTCAAAAGCACCGTAGTCATGATAAGAATAATAATGTGGAATGCAAACTATATTTATTTATTTCATGAATTCGGGGAAAGTATTCTGTAGTTTGAGGGCTGA